GTTACCACTACTGTGCATGTGTGTCAAGGACAGAAAGGCAGATGTGGCAGTGGAAGGTGTCAAAGCAGTTTGGAGAGAAAAACAAAGTAAAGAACAAAAAAACGATTAATTGATTATTAAATTAGTCATCGATTATTTTAATAATCGATTAGTTGTCGATTAATCGATTAATCGTAGCAGCAGACTAACCACTTAAATTGATTAAATTAAATCGGCTATTAATGCTGTTGTGTAACACTACACTATTAATTTGAAGTTAATTGAAGTTTGGAGACATTTTAAAAGGCTTTTCTTTAGAAACACATCTGACACTTTCAATGGCTGGGGGGGTAGCGGTGTGCGACTGTTCTTCTGAATAAATGAAAACTATGTAACATAGTTGTTTACACTGAAGTTAAAAATGTTTGACCAGAGGAAAACCAGAGCAGGACTAGAGATGAATATGATTTAGATTTTTATTTCTGTGACTGTATACGACCCACAGGAGACACGACATTAACAGCAGTCGTCATTTCATTCCTTTTATTCCACAGCTGAGCTGCTAAAAATGACAGATTTTCTTTTCTGGATCTCTGAGAGCAGGACTTCAATCTCCAAACTCATAAAGTTCTTCTTTTTACTTTGCGATGTCATTTATGAATGGACACTTCCTGGTATGTGGGGCAGGAAACGTAAATGGTGTTTTTAGGATGGTAACCATGCTAATCTCCTCTCCTCGTGCACGAGCACCCGGTACTCATTCATCAATTTACGCAGCTCATTTACACACTTTTCCTGAAGATAGAAGAGTTTGTTGAATCTGACGTGACATGTTCGTACGAACCCTTCATACGAACAAAAGTAAGAGAAGTTTAGGATAAGAATATGAACATGTTCTTGCACCAGGCCCAATGTCTTCACATCTTTTGCACTGCAGTCTGTACTCATTCTACTCATTTTGCCAGGATAGGTCACATATTTTATTTAGTCACATTCTTTTTTTATTTTATTTTTCTTTCAACGTATTAACTTTTCTATTTTGTCCTCATCCTCAGTCATGCCGATTCCTTACATTCCTTCTTGTCTTCATTCTCAGATGGTCGAAGGTTTCATCCCCGGCTCTCCTCTGACTCTGAGGATGATGTTGAAACTCCCATGAGCTTTTTACAAATCACTGTCCGAGGCCTCCTGCTGGCCTTGACGTCTATGACGCAGGCTGCAGCCTCAGATCTGCGTTTCCACCTCAGATGGAGAGCGATAACTGTGACCATGCTGCTGGTTTTAGTGCTCACCATCTATCTGCACCAGACAGCAGGGGACAGAAAATCCCCAACCAAAGACTATTACCAGAGCAACATTCATCATTTTCAAATCCCCAGTGAGGCTGACGTTTTCAGGGACAGTAAAAGTGCCAATCCACAAAGACTGGTTCGGGGCCAAAGAAGTGAAAAGCCTTACAATGACACATATCCGTTAAGTCCACCAGAGAAGACCTGGGATGGCATTCGTTACCGTATCGGAGTTATTGCAGATCTGGACACTGCGTCGCAAAGCTCCAAGGATCAGACGTGGTTCAGCTACATGAAACGAGGCTACCTGACAGTTTCGAATAGCGCTGACAGCCTGAAGGTGGAATGGGATGCTGACATCATCACCCTGGAGAGCAATTTGGCTGAGAAAGGAAGAGGTTTGTGGTCTTGAAGATGATATCTGTTCATTCAGACCAATAAGGGATCTAAATGTCTCCCTGATTACCTCTGCTGCAGGTATGGAGCTGTCAGAACTGGCGGCGTTCAACGGTCACCTGTACAGTGTAGATGACCGTACGGGTGTGGTGTACAGGATTGAGGGAAGCCGAGCCATTCCCTGGGTAATATTACCTGATGGGGATGGCTCAGTCTCTAAAGGTCAGTCTGTAAGATCCAGAATCAGGGTCTGAAAAATGATCCAACAAGCATAATTTGGCACTGAAGCATTTTTAACCTGAAAGTGAATTAAACTAAAAAAAACGAGTGTCAGAAATTGGAAAAGAGAAGGTTAATCTGAGTTTTGATCGTGCAGGATTCAAGGCCGAGTGGCTCGCAGTGAAGGACGAGCACCTGATCGTTGGAGGCCTGGGGAAGGAGTGGACAACGACGTCTGGGAAAGTCGTCAACCACAACCCAGGGTGGGTGAAGGTTGTTGGCTACAAAGGCGAGGTGCAGCACGAAAACTGGGTGTCTTACTACAATGCCCTGAGGACTGCTGCAGGGATCAAACCACCAGGTACTGAATGAGATTTTTTTTTTTTTTTGCCTTTCACACATCACAGGGGCCTGAATTTAGCCGTCAGATTTTATTTGAAACACACATAAAAAAGAGCTGATGATTCCCAGCCATGCTTAGTTTTTACTTGGTTATAATTTATTATATACCTGATGTTTAATTTCATCAATTAACACAAAAAAATCTGTGTTTGAATATTTTTAACTAAAATTTGCAGAAGAAATGAAAGATTTCTATTGAAAACATCTATAAGGGCATGTACTACATATCAGGATGAATGATTTAATGAGAATACTTGTTGAATGAGACATATCATGCTTTAAATCCTTTTCACATTAAATCATAAGAAGAAGGATGAAGACCACTGAATTGTAGTTGTTAAGTCCAGACCTTATTTGGCAGCTTTGTGGCAAATACTGTAACGTAACAGTTCAGAAAACGTCGTAAAAATAGAGAAAGCTGAACAGATTGAAAATGACCCAAACAGAATGGAAAGAGTTGCACTCTGCACCGGGAGAGACTGAAGGTTTCTGCACTCCTACAGACTCCAAGTACACAACAAAATGTTTTTAATGGCTAAAAAAGTGGATTGTGCATAATCTGTCCCTTTTAAATTTTCCTCTTAAATTATTCAAAACAAATATTCCGACCGTTATTTTACACAAAGAATGGCCCGTTTACAAATTTGAAATATATAGTTGGTCTCTTTTGTTTTCAGGATTTTAGAGGCTGCAGGACAGTAAAATGCATAAGGTTGTTGGATCTTATGCTTTATCCAAAACTGTCTTTTTTTTTTCTTTCTCTTTATCGCTTGTTTTGTTGGGCTTTTTTCAGTTACTGCAGGTCTATTGCTAAATGGTAGATTTCTTAAATATTCGTAATTTTGGGGATTATGGCTGGTTCTTTCTGAATATAGAGCTTTACAGTCTTGTTTATTAGTCACTTGATACATCACACCCCTTTTGCAGCACTTTGTGACCCTGGTCTGTGAAAAGCGCTATAGAAATAAAGTTTACTTACTTACTTACTTACTTACTTTTGCACAATACTTATAGCTGCAATTACAAAACAGGTTGGCTTAACCAGTAAACAACCAGTATTTTATCTACGGTAAGTATTGTTTGATTTAATTGTCGGGATTAAATAAGAATTAAGCAAAATACTCAGGGACTGTTGAAGTTGTTTTATTTTTTTTTCCCCTGGGTACCGCCCTCACTAACCATGCAGTCATTAAAGAAAGCTGGTGAAATTTTCTTATTGTGGCCAGAAGTTTGATGAAACAGGAACAGGAAGTCATTTTTATAAATTTTAATGAATAGAGATGAGATAAATGTCTCTTTGAAGGGATCCGGATTCTGTGGAGCCACTTGTTTCATAGAACCGTTCAAAAGATTTGTTTGATGTAGGGAAATACGTCATCACGTCACGTAGGCGGAACCATGTGTTTTGTCAAGCTGAAACTCCTCCCCCTTCGCCCTGAGCTGCTGAACTTCATCATTCTGCCTGTTTTCCATGAAAAAGTGTGGTGGGAGCGATTGTCTGTGGTTAAGTGTGAAAAAATAAAGATATTAAGAGGGGAAAAAACACCAAACGGCCCTTTAGTGCTCGTGATTCAGTTCCTATTGTTCACTGTAGAGACATTTAAAAGATTAAACCATTTGTGAATGTCACATTGCTAATGAATATTCCTTATGATTTATTCTGTGGCAACATTACATTTATTGCTAAACTAAATACTGTGGAGTCCTTAAACTCTGCTCTGCTGCAAAATATAAAATAATTCTTGTGCTTTTCAGAACAAATAATAATATGGGATAAATGTTGTGCCAGCAGGAATTTAATTTGAATTAATTTGTTTTGAAACCCTATTTTGGTTTATTAAAAATTCAGTTTGACTACTTTCACTTTCAGTTCCATAATTCAGATTTTTGTGTCACATCCTGGTCCTTGAGAAAGCCAGGCAGAGTAATCAAACACAGATCCACAGATTTATGTTTCACTTTGGTGAAGTTTCCCTTCTGTAATGTAACAGAGTTCAGTTTACCTTGTTTACAGTTTACCC